TGTAGTCTGTCCCTCGCAGGACCCCAACAGTTCTTGATGCAGGCCAAGATGCCATTGGCCTTCTTGGCCACTTGTGCACACTATTGGCTCATTTTAAGACACTGTTAACTAGCAGTTCCAAGTCCCTTTCTGCTGAACAGCTCTCAAGCCACTCCTCTCCCAGCTTGCAGTACTGCATGGGGTTATTGTGTCCCAAGTGCAGGACTCTGCACTTCACCATATTGAGCCTCATGCCCATTGATTGAGTGTGTCTAGGTCTCTCCGTAGACCCTTCCTACCTTCAGGCAGATCATCACTCCACCCAATGTAGTGTTGCCTGCAGATTTACTGAAGGTGCAGTCAATCTTCACATCCAGATCATCAATAAAGATGTTAAATAGAACAGACCCCAATACTGGCCCTTGGTGAACATGACTAGTGAGTGGCTGCCAACTGGATTTAGCTGTTCACCACAACTCTCTGGGCCTGGCCGTCCAGCCAGTTTTTTACCCATTGAAGAGTGCACCCATTCAAGCTGTGAGCAGCCAGATTTTCCAGTAGGATGCTGTGGGAGACAGTGCCAAATGCTCTGCTGAAGTCTGGATAGGCTACATCCACAGCCTTTCCCTCATCTATGAACTGGATCACTTTGTTCTAGAATGAGGTCAGATTGGTCAAGCAGGACCTTCCCTTCATAAATCTGTGTTGGCTGGTCTTGATCCCCTGGTTGTCCTGCATGTACCATATAATGACATCCTGAGGTGCATTTGGCAGGTGCATTTGCCACAGGGCAGGCAGAGAATGTTTCTGCCAGCCAATCTCATCCTCAGATGCCCTAATCCTCTTTAACCTTTCCACATTCTCTTTGAGTTGCACCACCAAGCAACCTAACACAGGTATTGTCTCTGCTGCCTTCTGATATCAGTGGTAAGCTCTGGCACTCCCTGCAGCCCAAGACCTGGACCCTTGGATGTTTCTGTGGCAGCTCTGTCTGTGTTGCCACATCCTTTCTGGCACACACAGAGGACTTAGCACCCTGCTGAGTGGAGACCATCCCTGACCTCTCCTCTCAAGCTGATAGGAGGGAGGCTGCTCCTTCCTGCCTGCCTTGACTGCCATACCTGCCCTTGTTGCCATGCCCCCAGAGCAGTTTAAAACCCCTGCAGTTCTCCTGGCTCAACAGCTTCCTCACCTCAATGTCTAGTGAGAGCTTCCAGACCCTTGTAGAGGTCTGGACTGCTGCTTGGGAACCCCCCGTACAGCCTGATCTGACACACACCCCAGACTTACTTCTGTTGCTGACTGTTCGATGTGTGTTTGATATCATCCATGATTTGACTTATGGAAGATGATGGCAATAGTGCTTATAATTTGCCTCTAGCCATAAAATCTATTCTCTCCTGTGATCAATAGTGCCAAAAGGAAGAAAGCCCCTTGGGTTTCCATTAGGAAAGGTAGAGGATGCCCCCTACTTCTGATTGTGCCAGCAGCTGTATATATTCATATAAGCATACTTTGAAAAGTTTTACCTGTGTAGAAGGTTCTGCATGCAAAGTGGATGTGCTGGGGAATTTTTGTGAGTTAAGGGTATTACCATTGGAACTATGATACTCCATGATCCTGGTGTGGCAACAGTTGATGCATCAGGGTGGGATTTGCATACTAATTATAACACAGCTACTTATTGTATTTAAAAGGAGTATGCTGGCATATTGGTACATTTTTTCCTTCCCACCTATGTTAGAAATGCTACTTACTTAGAAAATTATTTTTTTTCCAATAATAAGTGTTGCAAAGCTGAACTTCAGCTGCACTTCCAGTGACTTGGACTTTAAGAGGAGATGGTAATAAAAATGAATTTCAGCATCTGTTGTTTATTCATATTTACCCCTTAACTGTAATGGTTAACCACAGTGTGGTTTCTTGAGATAACACTTTATGGCACGGAAGCAGCTTGTTTGTATGTGGAGATTGCAAAACCATATTGTTGTGCGTAACAGCTCAGCTATAAATTAGAGCGCAGGATAAGTGGGATGTGGTCAGCTAACGCTCCCTGATCTGTGTTTCAAATGTGGTGCTCTGTTAGCCCTCTCTCTTGTTTTTACCATTCTGTTTGCTGAAAATGTTTTCCAGAACACTTTACTGATCTTTATTTTATTAATGACCAAAATCTATATTTCTGTTTTGGCTTGTTTTCCTGCAGGCAGCATCATAAAATCTTTATCAAGTGAAAATGGCCTTTAGCAATCTGACATCAAAGGCTGTACTACTCTATGATGAATGGATTAAAGATGCCGGTGAGTCATTTAAATCTAAAACTTACTCACTCCCAATAATTTTCAATAGCAATGTGTAGCTATGCTAGGTATACTGTTAATCACCTTGAAAGTAGGTTTGTCTTCCTGTAAGTACCTGTAAGATTTGTCAGGTTAGCTATTGATAGAGCAGACTAGTTTCTGCATTTTAAAATAGTAAATAAGCAAAATTCAGCTTGTTTATGGGTATAAACTCAGCAAATAATGTGCAGACAATGATTTTTCTGTAAGTGTTTCTGGCTGGCTTGAATCTATAGTTTACTTAGTTCTTCCTGTGCTGCTGAATGTAAAGTTTTAACTCTTTTTCATTACCAAGTAATGGCATTTTATCAGGTAATTAAGGTAGGTGCACGGTGTTACTGTATTTTGCTTTTGCAAAATGAATAATAAAACAACAAACAAAGCCTGATAAACTTCAGCATTTTGAAATTAATCCTCAGTAATTAACTCTGTCACAGTTCTGTTTTGAAAATGGATGTTAGTGTTTTGTTGCAGCTAGTAAGGAATATTAAACACACTTTGCTTTTATGTTGTTCTGTAGTTCTGTGTGCATAAAAAAACTGACAAGAGAAAAATCTCAGTTTTGGGGTTAAGATCCATCTGATCCAATGTTTGTCACTGCAGTAGGCACATAGTAACATGGGTTAGCTGGGAAAAAAATTGAGAAGTGGTTAAGGTTTGATAAGGTTACTGATTTATCTTTTCCAGTACAGCTGAGCACCATTTCTCTTGTTCTGTAGAAGCACAGCATGCAAGTGAGAAGGGAGTTTAATCAGTATGACTCATGGGGTGAAGTGGGTTGAGGTGGAGCTGGGTGAGAGTGAGTATTTCTGCTGCACTGCCCATGAATTCAGAATTTGAGTTCCTTGTCTCCTGACCACCAGTGCTTGTATTTGGCATTTTGTAGCATGCTGTTAGTTGTGGAACATAGCTTCCTCAAGATTCACGTGGGGAAGAACAACGGGAAAAGTTGGGTAGTAGCAGTGAAAGGGATGGATGCAGAAAGAGCAGTCTATTGTTCACTAGAGGTGAATCAGCAACAGGTAATCCACAACACTCAGAACTGGTGATTCCCTTGCAGTGCATACAAACAGAGATGCTGGTGCTGTGGTTCAGTCCTTGCTGGTCTGTGGGCAGCAGCACTGGCACATTGCAAGCTGTGAGCAGGACTGTAATGTGCTTTCCTCCTCAATCTGTTTTTACACTTCCAGTAAACTGCATCAGAGGGTCTCGTGGATCATAGGTTACTTGAATACTGTGGGTTGAAAATTTGCTGATTTAAAACATTTTGGCTGTAAATTGTAAATTGCAACTTGACAAAAGTTGCAGTAGTCTAATTCAACCCTTAAAATAAGTACTAGAGAAATGAGTTCTTTTCTTTTCTCCCCTTGTCCTGTAGATCCAAGACTGGAAGGCTGGCCACTCATGTCTTCACCTTTTCCAACAACCTTTATAATTGGAACCTATGTTTATTTTGTCACTTCCTTGGGACCCAAACTCATGGAAAATAAAAAACCTTTTGAACTCCGGCAGATAATGGCATTTTATAACTTTGGTGTGGTAATCCTCTCTTTATACATGACTTATGAAGTAAGTACTGTTTTTGTTTGTAATGTGTTTATATATACATACATATATGGTAGAGACATGTAACTTCTTTTAAGTCTATGAATATAACTCCCACTCTGCAGTTCTCAAAAAAATATGATTCTGTTGGTTGCAATTGCATCCCTCCAAGCAGTATGCTCAACTAGTGATTCTTAACAAAAGACATACCTAGAGAGATATTGTAAAATATTTTGTGTCATTGCATATAATTTAAAAAGTTTAAAGTTCTCCTAACTGTGTTTCCCTGGGTTGAAGCAGGTAGACAAGATACTTCTGTTAGTCTTTTGCAATTGTTTCTGTCCTACTATGTGATAGTCAACAGTGATGTTTCAAATGCTCTATAGAGTATGTTTACTATGGAACAGTCTTAAGTGAGATGTGCCTTCTAAATGACAGAAGTAAATGACAGAGGTGAACAAAAGCTAATTTAAGGGATCTCTGTTCTTTAAATAAACAAATTCCCACAAACAAAAATTCCCACAAACAAAACCCCTCCAACCTTTGCTACCCTCCCCCCACTCCAAACGCAAACTATGAATAGCTTTAGCATTGATTTTCCACACAACCATAAAATAGCAAATACTTTTTCTATCTTGTTTGGGTTTGGGGGGTTATGGTTGGGGGTTTTTTAAGTGTAGCTGTTTGATAATAGTATTGTGGGAATGGTAGCCGTACTGCGCCAAACTGGCAGGATACGTTTCTGTTAGCTTGATTTGCAATCATTTCATCATGAGTTACAGTGAACTACTTGATTATTTCTTTTAACCACTCTAAAAGCAGCACAGCAGCAGCTGCTTTGTGTCACGGTTATTGTGTGGAAAGTGGTGGGCAAGATGCACACTTTGCTGTTTGGCAGTTTTTCAAAACAGTGTCTAATCTTCCTTTTGGGATTTGGTTCCAAGTTTGGTTCTGGTTATAACCCTCATAAACAAACAAACAGAAAACCACAAAGAAAAAAATCAAACAAAAAATTAAACTTCTGTCAGTGTCTGACACTACCACAGTATTCATTTAGTCTGCTGTCAAGACTTCCATGTTTCAATTTCATGAAAGAATGTGTGGACAGAGTGCAACAGATTGAATTTCTGCTATTGTCTGGTGGTCAGCAAGAAGCTGATTTTTTCTCTCTTTGGAACCAAGCCATTTGGTGGGTGCTTTAGTACTATGCTGCCTTGGTGATGTTCCAAAACTTGTTTCATTTAAGCAACCAATTCTCTTAGTAAGTTAAAAAGACCAAAGCTCTCGTTCTGCTGAGAGAGATGAACCTCTTATTGTGCATGAGAGGATGGTGGTGGTGCGACACACTTTTTAAACAGATGCAAAATGCAGTAGCCGTAGTGGCTGGCAGGGGAAAGAGCCAAGTATAGTATTAATGTTGCTCCTGTCCAAACTTTAATATATTCCAAGGGAAAAGATTACGTGATATTTGGTACATGCAGTACTTTGGTCACCTGTGTGCTCATGGTTGTAGCTTCTCAGCACTTGTATCAGTGAAAGAATACTTGAATCATGCAGTTCAACTAAGCAAAGTTATAAGAACTATATTAAATATACATTGTGCATTTGATTTGTTCTTTGTCTTTAATGATAATTTACAATTTTATTTCTCTTCTGCTGATTTAGTTAGAGTATAAATCTGCTGTGTTGGATTCTTTTCAGTATTAAAATGGTTAGCTGCAATAGCAATTTTCAAAATAAATAAAAATCTTGTGTTTGTGGTGTGATTTATACAGTAAGTTGGTTTTTAACATTGCTTTTGAGATACAGCTGTTGCTTCTCCTCAGTTACTGAAATAATGGGTGTAGGAAGAAAGTTGTCTTTAGGTGTGATCCTAGAATTAGAAATTCATTAATCTGCAAACAGCAACATTTTGTGGTAGCTATCCCACACAGAAGTAGATGATTGACAAAGTTGCTGATTCAACATGTTTTTAATATTGTTTTTCCCCTCCTGCTTAGTGATTGCAAAAGTAATCCGAAGTTAACGAATTTTTCAAAGGTTGTAAAGTAAATCTTTGCCTTTCCCTTTTCTTTGCTGCAGTTTCTTATGTCGGGTTGGGCCACAGGGTACTCGTTCCGGTGTGATATTGTTGACTACTCGAGGTCACCTACAGCTCTAAGAGTAAGTTGCCATACACAAAGCTGAATTGTTGTCACAGAAACACAGAATAGTTTGGGTTGGAAGTGACCTTAAAGATCATCTAGTTCCAACCCCCCTGCCATGAGCAAGGACACCTTCCACCAGACCAGGTTGTTCAAAGTAGCGTTATGCTACATTGACTTTATTTGTAGCAATTCTTCTTGAGCAGCCAAATGCACTGCTGTAGAGTGGAATGCACTCAACGCAAATGCCCTCTTGCATAATGTAGAGCATGTGAGTTAACTGGAGGGGCTGGTTGGTTGGGAGAAAATGAGAGGCAATGAATTTGTTAGCTTGTTCTGGATTTTGAAATTCCTTCAGGATTAATTTTTTTGGTTTTTTTTTAAAAAAAAGAAAAACCAAACAAACCATACATTTAAATTTCTGTCAACTTTGGAGCACCATTTAGCTCAGTACTTTGCTTTATGTAGTTTCTTATTTGTCCTGCAGCTGCTCAGCTTTGTTTATCACTATTACGATTTGGCAGTTTGTTTTTTACTCTTGCAGATGGTGCGAACTTGTTGGCTTTACTACTTTTCCAAGTTCATTGAATTACTAGACACTGTAAGTATTTGTAGCCTAATAAAAGAAGTAGTGATGTTTCCTTTTCACAGTAGAACCAGTGCTGTTGAGGACTGGGCGTATTGCTTTTTATTTAGTCTTCCAATCTTCAATTATTAGAATACCATCGAGATGCTGACCCTTATTATCTCATCTTATTGTCCTATTACACTGTCATTTCTTGATTATCAAGAAAAATGTTAATGAGGGAACACACCTTTAAAAATATAGGAAGTCCTGAATACACTAACCTGTTATGCTATGGAAGTACTTGTCTCAACACTGCAGATAAAAACCAGTTGATCATGCTGAATTTTTTTTTCAGATAATTTTCAGATTATATCTTCCCCATTCAGAATATTGTCATTAGCAGCATTGAATACAGCACCAAATTACCATGCCTACCTGCTCTACATTCCTGGGATTGCCTTGAGGGTCATGGCTATAGAGGTGTTTGCTGTCAGGCTGGCACTCTAATGTGTTTCAAAGGAAGTCTGAGCAGCAATGCATTGAAACAGAATGTGGACCTTGCTCATCTACCTTCTGCTCTTCCCAAGACCGACACCTAGTATTGTTGGCTTAGATATTTTCAAACCACCTTCTGAGTGCTGGAATCAGCTGTAGTTCCATTATTGTGTGGGGCACAATAGTGGTGGTGCAGGAGCTGATTCATGAACAGTGAGGATGTTCTACACCTTTTGAGCAAAGTCAGGCATCTAACTTTTCACCTGCAAATACTCATGATTCAACCCTGGAAGATTTTACTGACTAAACCAAATGGAATGGTAATGGAAGGGACAGGAATGCTAAAACTGGAAAATCCTGACAAGTTTATTCCTCTATTTGCCTATATTACCCGCAGGTTAGAGTGCTCCTTTTTAATTAGTCCTGGACTTGAAATCTTTTTTTAGATTTGTTTTGTTTGAATACACACACAACTAGGTACCTGTTTCTCATCAGCTTTCTGGTTTTAATGCAAAAGGAACTTCTTAGCTGTATTTAAATCAGCTGATTCCAAATGTATTCCCTGGCACACCAGACTTCCTTTCTTCTGTGTTTATTTGCTTGCTGCCTGATACTACCTTTTGCATGACCTGACTTCTCCTTACAGTTTTCCTGCTCTGTCTTCCCTTAAGACTTCCCTTTGTCTGTCCTTTAAAATGTTGCCTGTCAATATCAATTAAGAATACCTCTCTCTCTCTCTCTCTCTCTCTCTCTCTCTCTCTTTCAATATATATACATATTCTGTCCAATTTTGCCTTTTTCTAAGGCTAGCTAAGTCAGTGTTCATAATAAAGGGCTATTTCTCTACTTTAGAATTTTCTACTACCTCTATCTGTTGCTAGTCCTTTAGTTAATTTTCTCAAATTGCCTTTATAGAATCATATAGAATATTAAGGGGTTGGAACAGACCTCAAAGATCATCTAGTTTCAAGCCCCCTACACATTCCACCAGATCTGGTTGCTCAAGGCCTTATCCAACCTTTCTTTGAACACTGCCAGGGTTGAGGCATCCACAGCCTCCCTGGGAAACCTGTGCCAGTGTCTTACCATCCTCACAGGAAAAAAATTTCTTCCTAATAATCTAGTCTAAATTTCTCCTCTTTCCATTTATCCCCAGTACTCCTTGTCCTGTCACTACACTTCTTAAGAAGGAGTCCCTCCCCAGCTTCCCTGTAGGTCCCTTCAGACACTTGCAAATTGTTACAAGGTCTCCACACAGCCTTCTCTTCTCCAGGCTGAACAGCCTCAACTTTCTCGGCCTGTCTTCATAGGGGAGGTGCACTAGTCCTCTTGTCAGCTTACATTAATAGTTTGCTAGACTTAAAATCTGATGCTTCTACACACTTCTCAATTCAAGCCAGTCCACCTTACACTGTTTGTTGCACACATAGGTGATGACTCAACCTTGGATATTTGCTTTCAGAGCTTGCTCTGGCTTTTGAGGCTTCACAGGTGGATTTTGCACACTGCTTTTAATTTTTTTTTGAAATCTAATCTGCATATCTAGACCCCCAGTTTTCCTTCTTCTCCCAAGACTGCAACTCTGAATGTAAATGTATAGTAGTGAGCAGTGTCTTACTCACAGGAAAAAAATTTCTTCCTAATAATCTAGTCTAAATTTCTCCTCTTTCCATTTATCCCCAGTACTCCTTGTCCTGTCACTACACTTCTTAAGAAGGAGTCCCTCCCCAGCTTCCCTGTAGGTCCCTTCAGACACTTGCAAATTGTTACAAGGTCTCCACACAGCCTTCTCTTCTCCAGGCTGAACAGCCTCAACTTTCTCGGCCTGTCTTCATAGGGGAGGTGATCTAGTCTAAATTTCTCCTCTTTCCATTTATCCCCAGTACTCCTTGTCCTGTCACTACACTTCTTAAGAAGGAGTCCCTCCCCAGCTTCCCTGTAGGTCCCTTCAGACACTTGCAAATTGTTACAAGGTCTCCACACAGCCTTCTCTTCTCCAGGCTGAACAGCCTCAACTTTCTCGGCCTGTCTTCATAGGGGAGGTGCACTAGTCCTCTTGTCAGCTTACATTAATAGTTTGCTAGACTTAAAATCTGATGCTTCTACACACTTCTCAATTCAAGCCAGTCCACCTTACACTGTTTGTTGCACACATAGGTGATGACTCAACCTTGGATATTTGCTTTCAGAGCTTGCTCTGGCTTTTGAGGCTTCACAGGTGGATTTTGCACACTGCTTTTAATTTTTTTTTGAAATCTAATCTGCATATCTAGACCCCCAGTTTTCCTTCTTCTCCCAAGACTGCAACTCTGAATGTAAATGTATAGTAGTGAGCAACCAGCACTGATGCGTACAGTTTTCTTGAAGTATGTTGGGTTTGATTATCTTCTGTAACATTTTGTTCATTAAAAATCTGTTTCAGATATTTTTTGTGCTGCGTAAGAAAAACAACCAAGTCACATTCCTGCATGTCTTTCATCATTCCATCATGCCATGGACCTGGTGGTTTGGAGTCAAATTTGCTGCAGGTAGTGGAGAGAGAGTTGAGTTTAAGTTGAACATATCTTCTGGTAGGAAAAGTTAACTATGGTAGAGAAAAAAAGGAACCAGAAAACATCTTGCAAACATCAGTGTTTTTAAATTTAGATCTCTGCAGTATTTTATGGAACAACTGAGATCATAATTATTTAAATGGGTGGGGATTACTCATTTTTCCTATTTGACAGCATTTTGTGCAATGTTGGTTTCCTGGGCGGGGGGGAGGAAAGGTGCAGAGAACAGATTGTATATAAGCAAAAAGCCTTATTACCTGGAAGGGAAAAGTGATTGCAAAATGAGAAGTGCTAGGGAAGACGCATGAGGCAGATAACTCTGCTGAAATTAGTTCAAAACAATTTGTCCCCCTGCAATATTAGAGCTCAGTTGGGAGGGAGGACTGTGTTCTCGTATTTTTTTTCCTGTTTGAGAAATTATTCAGTCTCTGTTGCAGTTCTTTTTACTGGCTTTAGGTAGCCTGATTGGGGTTTATTTACATCTAATACTTTGGCTTTCACAAAACTACAGAAATATTTTTCTGGGCCTTGTTTATGAAAGAACGTGTACTATTGAAATTCTTTGTCCACTACCAGCTTACTTTCACTTTCTCCTTTCCTGTTCTGTGTGTCTATGCATGCATCTTCCTGTGCCATATTTTCAGTGTGCACCACTAATAAGTGCAGCTTGCCACAGGAATAGTGTGATAAGCACAGAGTGAAGAAATTCACAGTCATTTATTAGTCTGTCTCTAGGAGGGTATAGGGGTTTTTAGGAGTTTCTACTGAGAAGTACAGTTTTTGTACATTACTTATTGACTTACATTTCCTGGCATGTTGTTTGTTTTAGTGTTGGGGTTTTATTTTGTTCCAGAAAATTGGTGATGAATTGATGAAGAGAAGTATTGCTTATTAAATCTGACCTGTTAGTGTCTGTTTAATGAATACAAAAATAAGACCTGGAAGTACTCCAGAAATTCGTAGATGTGATCTTTTGAACCTGTCTATTGTGCAGCCTTTCTAGTGTATAAAATAATATACTTACTGCTGTATATGCTGAGTTTCTGTCATTAGGAAATTGTCTTGAATATGCCTGTCTCAAATCTTGCAAGTAACTGGTATTAAGTTTATGATGAAATTGTGAATAGTGTTCTCAGCATATACCTCAGTGTGTTTATAGGTCTGCAAAGGAAAACTTGCAGCAAATAGCAGTTCCTCCTCTTCAACCTTGAAAATTTTCCGCTTATAGGTGATTAACTTTCTGCTTTTTATCTGGATGTTGGATCAGTATACCAGCTACAGGCTTCTGATTTTGCATCAGATTCAAATTTCCCATGTGGTAACTTGACAAATACTTGCAGCAAAGTCTGCAAGAACTCTTCTGTCCTCTGCTAGTAATAGTCCCTCATACTCATGCAGAGCTGTATTTATTCCAACAACTCTATTGCTTATTTTTACACTAACCTTTCCAAATATTGCTCTGAGAGCTTAACTTTTTTTAAAGAATTTTAGCCCTGCTGATGATTACCTTGTCTTTGGTTTCATCAGTGTTTGTCCTTCTAAATAGCAGCACCAATCAAGTTTTCAACCTGTTTGTAACAAAGCAACAGGTTTGGATGGAGATGCTGTTTATTCTCTGGTCTGATATAAATAAAGAATTGTAAAAGGGGACTTATGTAGAGTGCTGAGTGTATTTTTATACTGTTGATTAAGTTTTTTGTTCTTTTTTTTTTTTCTCTGTGTTAACTGTTTATTTTTTTCTTCTGAATATTCACTGTGCAAGCCAAAAAAAGTATGTACATTTGAACTGTAAAAACACTCAAATTATTTTTAAAAACACAACCAGCTAAGTTTCAAAGAAAGTTTGCAATCACAGCTGGAGGAGTTATGCTCTATCAAGCTGGAGGACTAGTGTGAGCTACTAAAAACACAAAATATGTTTTAATCACAATGATTCTTAATAGGAAAATTGCACACTTCTCTAACTTAATGTCTACTTTTATGTCATCTTGTTTTCTTTTTGACCCTCAGTATTTTCATGTTCCTATTTCTCTTACAAATACTTTGCTGTCTGCTGCTTCTTGGCTCACTTTTACCTCTGATTTCTTGTGTTTGTTAAAATAAAACTGCTTTGAGCAGGATCATGTAACTCTGTAGCTGATCTAAAGGAAAAGGTGTTTCCTTACTTGTTCTGCAAAATGCTCATATGTTCCCAGTTTCAGTGATGAGTTAGCCCCAAATGGGCCTACTTGGCCTAAGTTTCCTTTTCATCGTAAGTGTGCTTTTGATATGGACAATGGATTTGTGAGACCCTTGCTCAGTCCATGATTGCAGAAACTTACTGTCTGAAACTGTTTCTTTCCATGCAAATCTGGAAATGTGTTGGATAGAGAGTTATTACTTACCCTGTTGAGCTTTGCAATGTTGATCATGATGTCTAGAAAGGAGGTGTAAACCAGCAGGAACACTTTCTACTGAATTCTCTGCACTTCAGTCACATATGTTTTAATAAAAAAAAATTTAAAAAATGAACCCAAAGAACAAAAAAATTGCACTATAACCTTTTCACAGATAATTGGGTCAGCAAGGTTTTATTGCTGTTTTAGAGATGCTTAGATTAAGCCTTTTCTGAGATGGGAAACTGGTATGATCCCTCAGAACTGGTATTAACCCAATTCAGGTTAAAGACCTTTAAGGCTAGTCAAAGTTTAGGTTTTGTGCTACATGTTTTTTCTATCCTGACTCAAAACAGTTGGCTAGGACTTGAGCTGGTTTCTTAAATACCTGATGCAATACTACTACTATGTTTCATTTTCCTACAGGTGGTTTAGGAACATTTCATGCTCTGCTGAACTGCATTGTCCATGTTGTCATGTACACTTATTACGGAATCTGTTCTTTGGGACCAGCCTATCATAAATATTTGTGGTGGAAAAAGTACATGACAACCATACAACTTGTGAGTAACTATTTTTGACACAAACACCTCTGCAAAATCTGATTGTGGCTAGCAGAGACTTAATGCAATAAATTGGTACTTTTAGTTATGTTCATGTGTGTTGCTTTCAGTTGGTACAAGGTTTACTCATGTTTTAAGGGGTGAACTGTCCTTGATTGCATACTTAAACCTGCTGTTTTCAGCATTCACTATAGTCACAGATTTAGACACATGAGCTTTTCAGTTATGCAGTACATGGTAAATACATTTACAAAACTCGTTGCCTGTATAAAAATTATTAAAATGCAAGTTTACAACAAGAAAACACTATTAATGTACAGAATACACATGTAACTAGTAGTGGGGAAAGGGGAAAAGTATTTCTTCAGCATTTCATATATGTTCTTTCACAGAAAATGTATGTGTTTAGGGAATTTACCTATCTCTAACCCAGAGCATTAAAAACACTCTTGCAGTATTTACATTAAGCATTTTAGCAGCTTCAGATCACTTTTAAAAGTTTACTACTCTGGGTGAGTCTTCATGCCTGTCGTTTTTATAGTGGATTTCCAAAATTCAGCTTCTGGCTGAACAATTAGCTTGTCCTGGGCAAGGAGGCTGATGGAGGAGGGGAAGGAGTGCCCTGTCTGCTTGCCCCAGGACTGGTGTTAGAGGAGTAGTTCATGTAACCATGTAGAGCTCTGAACAGTGTAGCTTGAATATTTATAACTCAGTCTTTTTGTCTTGGAGGCACTACTAGTGGACAATTAACTTGCAGACCATGTAGAATTATTTTTTTTTTAATCCTCCATTAAACTGGTTTTTTGGGACCTGCGGATATTTTTGTCACATGCTGGTATTCAGGAAAGGTGAGAGTTCACATCCCTTAATCCTGTAATGGTTGCTTTTAGGGTTTTGGGTTTTTTTTGTTGGTCTAGGGTTTTTTTTTTTTCTAGCTAATTTTTTGAAAGGAGTCTCTCATTTGTCATTGGTTAAACACTGCCTGCCTCCTACCTTCTTTTTTGAACTGGCCAGTATAGAATCACATTCTCTTAGTATGAGTTTCTCATTGCTGCCTGTTAATTCAGTTTGTCCCAGGACTTCACATCCTTTGCTCTGTGAAACTGTTGTACAATGAAGTAACATTTTGGGAGAATGGCTGTAAAGGTGCATCTCTGTCATTTTAGAAAGTTGTGTTGGTGTCCCTGTCTCTTCTTCTTCCCACCATCCCCTGCCCATGCTTTCTGGTTTTCTGCATACCAGTTATTCTGATTTATCATTTTTAACTTCTGTAGTAAGTTTGTAATTTATTTAAAAAGTACTTATTTTTTTTTCTCCCTTTTCCCTCCAGGTCCAGTTTATTATGATTACAGTCCACATAGGACAAATCTACATCATGGATGACTGTCCGTACCAGTATCCAATTTTCATGTTCATTATTTGGCTCTATGGCTCTATGTTTTTAGTCTTGTTTCTCCACTTCTGGTACCATGCTTACACGAAGGGACAAAGGCTACCAAAGATGGCAAGAAATGGGATCAGGAAAGATCAGTGAAACAAATTCTTGTCTCTAAAACCAAAAAAGTACATATGTCAAAGGGGAAACTTGCACTACTTGACAATCGAGATATTTAGGTGCGCACACTACAGGGTGTATATTTTGTATGTTTTCTTCCAAAACAGAATTTGTATTTTTACCATAAGTTATTCGGGATTCAGAATATGGGAGGGGTGGGGGGAGGACTATGGATCTCTGATTTAAGGGGGAAAAAAAAGGTAGATGGTCTCTATCTAGAAAATGTAGGAAAATAAAGATAATAATTGGGCAAGTTAAAATGTGTATGACAAGTACCAAGTACTTTGAACACTGATGGGGATAAAATTACTTCACCTTAAATGTTGCAAGTTGCTGAGACTGTCAGCTGCATTGTATTAAAAGAATAAATCTTCAGTAAGTACTGTTTATGGAATCTAAAGCTTATTAATACAGCTAATACATAAACATTATGTCTGTTTGTACACTATATTACTTTAAAGAAAGGATGGTATGATAATCTGCCAAGGCATGGCTTTCGTTTGAAGGTCACAGATTTTTGGATATGCTGTCTTTTACTAAGAGAACTTAATTCATTTCATGTTCTACTCAGTTGAACGTTATCGTAAATGTTGGAAAGCTACTAATTTGGGGATTATCTGAACTGTCTTGTACCGTAGTGATCAAAACATCTTACTGATTTGTTCACTGAAGTAGCTTAATATACTCATTATACATTGTATCTATGGATATATTTTATATTGGTAGCCTGTGCTGTTTGGGGGAGGCTGAGGGGATTATTGAATCTTGTACTTCAATCGCCAAAATCTTAGGACTCAAATAAATAAATAATAAATTTTTTTGATTGAAGCTTAAATGTCACCTAGCATGATCGTGCTGTGCTCTATTTTCTTCTATTTCCATTATCTATTGAAATACATGCCTAGAAAGAGGTTGTGTTGTTTTTTTCATTATTATTGTATGCTTTTATCAACTCAAGGTTAAAGTTACTCCATTAATAGCACCAGTTCCCTCATCCTGAACCAGGCAACAAGATGTCATAGAATCAACCAGGTTGGAAAAGACCTCCAAGATCAAGTCCAACCCTACCCTGGTTACTAGACCATGGCACTAAGTGCCACATCCAGTCTCGTCTTGAAAACCTCCAGGGACGGTGAATCCACCACCTCCCTGGGCAGCACATTTATGTGTCATTCTCTGAGCTGCTGAGATGGAACAGGCAGTGGTGACTGGCGTGGCTGCAATCTGTGTAGAACTGACCTCTTACACTGTTTACCATGGTTAGGCAGGTTGCTAATCACACATGTATACAAGTCAAAGGAACTAGCTATTTGCACATGAGTTGCATTTGTACTGCATGAGTTTATTAAGGATTTGGTGCACACAACAGACCTGCAAACGAGGAGTTACAGGTGTTTAATGTTACCTTTAAAAGTACTGTTGTCTATAATGTTTAACACTGTCAGGAAAGACATTTGCTGTATTTACTTTGTGCTTGATCTGATCTGTGTGTTTTCAAATTCCCAAAACTTTGGGGCAGGTTTTGATAGCCTCCCTGTTGTACTATTACAAAAGAGTAAGTTTTGTTACACTTCTATTTAACATTTATGGTGCATTGTAGATGCTAAAAGAATTTAAACATTATCTTGGACATGAGTTGCAAATGTTTTCTGATGAGATTACATTAAGTCATCTTTATAAAACAAAAAATAATTTATATTTTATCTTTCCATTATTTAATCCCTGTAGCTGTCAGCTGTCTTGGCAGTTTGACAGTAGATCTCAGGAAGTATTTGGGTGATTCAAAAATGTATATTGTGACCCCTAAATTTTAGATGCTTGATCCTAGCATCAGTGCTGGGTTCTCAGCTCCCTGGCAGTGCATGTGGAGAGGTGCTTTAGCACAGAATCCCAGACAGCTGGAGTGCTGATAAGGGACCAGACATGAAATGCAATCAACCACTGACTGAAAGTCTCAAATCCAGCCAGCCTTCAGCCCATATGTATGCCCTTGGCTTCCAAAATTAGGATGTCATTTCCTAAGTACAGAGACCTATTGCTGTTTCTTTCAAACAGCAGGAAAGGGGTTGCTAGATTTATATTTAAAGCTGATTTTTGTTGTTGATGTGTTGGGTTTTTTTAAAATGTGTATATAATCGTTTATCACACAAGTACAGGTGAAGAAAGTGGGACAATTTGGTTCCTTTAGGTTGCCTTGAGGCTGCACATGCAAATGTGTTTGGGAAATGCAGGCCTCCTGAGGTGAAAGCTGTAAACTTGAATGATGCTACCCATTGCTCCCCGGGGAGTGAAGTAGGCATTACTCCATAGTCTTGCAGATGACTCCTGTGCTGTTAGAGGAAGTCCTAGTTCTGGTCTCTGATTTTGCAGTCATTCCTCCCTCCCTACCCCATAAATATTTATGGAGTAATCATCCTGCAGCTTTGTATGAGGGAACAAGTACTTGTATTTTATTTTGGGCCTAGATCTGCAACTGATTCTTCAAACTCACTCGGGCTTAAGTAGAAGGTGATAGTATACACAGTCAAAACTAAGCAGTGCTGCATGTGGACCGGTGCTGAACAGAAAGGAGCTAGGGAAAACTTTCAATTCCAGCAGCTGTACAGTTGCCAACTGTGTCCAGAGTCAGTTGTTTGAGATTAAGAACTAATAAGCAGGAGCAGAAAATGAAGATGCTAATCATTCAGTGGGCTG